TGAAAGATAATTCATTTTCTTGTAGTGCACTTTGATATATGTGTGCTCCTTTTTAATTCAAAAATTAAAAATATATAAAATTTAAATAATGCAATTCTACTGTGGCTTTCCCTTGTTCCTAATGCTTCTGAAAATGTAATTAAATTCAGACTCCTTAATGGTGCCTTCCTATCTCTCCAGCTTCATTCCTGCATCACTTTCTACCTAGATATCTCTAAGTCTAAGTATACTGATTTTTCATGTCCTTGAATTTACCACGTTCTCTTACATCTATAAGTCTGAATGTGCTAGTTTCTCTGCCCAGAGCCTTTTTCTGTCCTTAACTCTCTCCAAGTATTTGTCTTTAGTTTCGATTTAATTGTTATTTTCTTAAGGAGATCTTTCTTAATATTTTCTATTGGGTTAAATTATATTGTTACATGTTCTCATAGCACCTTTCTCAATTCCCTTTTATTACTTGCTTATTACCTGATTTTCCTACTAGAATATATAATTTATGAGAGCAAGATCCATGATCACAGTATCTGACACATTGCATTAAATTCTGCACTCTAATCCTGTTTCTTATTTTCACCATATCACGCAAAGTACAGACAATGGACAGATGAGAATATAAAAATGACCTATACAGAGATGCACATTGATGAGCAAAGCTACTCTCTTGACTCTTAAAAAGAAAAGACTGAATGCTAAATAAGTCAACTTTCATTGCTACTGTTATAGCATTGAGAATGAAAATAGAAAGTTACCCAAGGAAATGATTACATTTTGCATTTTGGAATTTGTAACTGATATGCATGCTTCATAGTGTCAGTCCTTATCAATAATCCATTCCTCATAGACCCAACTGAGAAATCTTTTAAAAGCATAAATCAGAGCACATTACTCCTCTGCATAAAACTTTCCAGTGATTTTCCATCTCAACTAGGGTAAAATTCAAGCTCTCACCTGCTTCTCTGTGACCTGTTCCCTGTTTTCCTCTTTGTCTCCACCCGCTGCAGTTTCCTCTCATGTACCATGCTGTGGGGTCCAGGCACACTGGTCTCCTTTCAGTTCCTGTAACATTAAAGTCATTGCTATATCTTCTCCCAGGACTAAAGTGCTGCTTCATTCTCTAATTTACACCTTAATTTGCATATTGCTTCCTAGGAAAGGTCATCCTTGACCTCCTCCACTAAAGCACAATTTCTATCCACTGGCACTTGCTACCATTTTGCACTGTTTGTCTTCAGAAAATTAACAGCATCAAAAATAATAGAATTTGTTTATTTCTTTATGTGATGAATCTGTATCTGTCCACTTGAGGACAGTGATCTGTCTGTTCATCATTGAAAATATTCCCGGATCCTAGAATAGTGCCTAGCACATGATGTTGTTGTTGTTGTTATTTGCTGTCGAGTCGGCCCCGACTCATAGCGACCCCTCCTTGGGTTTCCGAGGCAGTATCACTACGGAAGTAGGAATGCCCAACCTTCCTTCCAAGGAGTGGCTGGTGGGTTTGAACCGCCAGCCTTCTGGTTAGCAGTCAAGTGGCTTAGCCACTATGCTACCAGAGCTCCTTAAATGTATTGATGAATCATTGTGGATATGCAGGTGCCACTGAATTAAGTCTTAGGGGTACTGAAGACATTAAGATGATTCACAAAAGTCAAAGCAAACATGTGGTTTTCAAAGTGAGTCTAGTGACCTCTGTTGGAATACTTACAAAGGCACATTCAAGTAATAGTTTTCATTTTTTTCCCCTAAGTGTTCTCTCACCTCTTTTTATGATAAAAGGTTGGTGTTGGTGTAAAATTAAGGATCAGAGACTTTTGACAGTCCTTGTACCATCTTGGAGAACACCCCATCTCCCCTTCTATGTGAATGACTCTTCTCTTCCTGCTCCCAGCTCATCAGTTTGTGTTTCTAGCGCAAATCTTAGAGGAGAGTATTCAAAGATACAGGAAGCAGAGAACTTTCTTGATCCCTTTCCAAATCGTATTGGATAAATAATTGCCTTTCTTTGCACATATATCTGAAAGGAATTTATCCAGATGACATGGATAAAGATACATCTGATGGACATATTCCATATGATCTCACTTATTTCACCTGTCTTGACACATGAAACAATCTGAAAAATGGTATTCACCAACAAGGCAAAGAATTAGGAAAGGGTTTCTTCTTGTTGAGAATAACAAGATTGAAAGAGCTACATAAGCCTATGATGAGGGTTCATTAAGAGATAAGCATTGTTGAGGGTGTAGGTGTTGTTGTTGTTATGTGCTGTTGAGTCGGACCTGACTCACAGCAACCCCTCCTTGGGTTTCCAAGGCAAAAAGCCCAAGTGAGAACCAAGGACCAGGAATTTCACAGCATCAAGGTAATAATTGGGAATGTGTGAAACAATCATGAAGTGATATGATTACATTTTTAAAAATTGTAATGTATATATGCATACACACACTTATTGAAAATATGTAGAATACAAATAAGTAAAAAAAGAAGATATAATGATTCATTGTAATCACTACCAATCAAAGAAAACCATTATAAGCATTTTAGCATTTAGCCTCAAATCTTATGTCTATTCCAGTCTTGCATTTATATATACCTTATAAGTAGAAATTTATATATACATTTTTACAAAATGGACTGAATCCTCTTACATTACTTTGAAAATTACTTATTTTCATGTAGTAAATTATGAAACATTCTCTTTGATCTAAGATCATTTTCTCAAAAAGTGTTTTATATACTTTATTATTTAAACAGATATTGTATTAAATTTGTACAATACTCAAAAAATTAAAGAAAGATAAGTCTCTCTTTTATCTCTTTTCTCTATGATGGTAATTACTGCTATTAGGGAAAGTATTTCATTGACCACCATGTGTGTTATAAATAAGGCTGATAATTACTAAGTGGTTGGTATAGTACCAGGCACAATGTTAAGTTCCTTATATAGATTATCTCATCCTCATTTTAATAAGAAAATCAAAACTTAGTCAAGAAATTGTCTCGAACTTACATAGATGATAAATGGTGGACTGGACTTGAATCAATGACTGTGCAAGCACTTGACTACACTACTGGACTTGAACTGATGACTGCACAAGCTCCTACAAAGGAGCATGGGGGCCTGGTATATAGTGTGAGGAGCTGATCAGTCTTCTGGTGTAATCTGGATAATGTGAATCAGCTGTCTTGGTGTTTGTTCAATCTCGGGAGAGCCAGTCTCAGGGGTGCTGAGATTAGACCTTGCAAACTTAAATCTCTGTCATTGCTCTGTCATCCCATTCTCACATCTTGTTTCTCTGTTCAGTTTTATTGGCTTTTGTACTTGCACAACCCACAGAGGTTATGTCAACACGAGCAAATCATTCTGCAATTTGAGCTCATATTTTTAAGATTTTACTTTATTTTTTTGATTAGCCATGTAACCTTTTTCTCATAACTTGAATGAATAATAAACCATGTACTTAAGTTTATTTTGTAGATGAAGATAGGAATAAAATGTGGAACTTAATTATGGAGGATATATTTAATTTACTTGATTTACATAGGTTTATTAATATACCAGAAAGAAATATGATTTTACCTATTCTGAGTCATTAAAATATGCTTAGGTCAATGAGGGAGCTCTGGTGGCATAGTGCCTAAGGCATTTGACTGCTAACCAGAAGGCTGGTGGTTCAAACCCACCAGCTATTCCTTGGAAGGAAGGTTGGGCAATCCACTTCTGTAGTGATACCACCTTGGATCTGACTCAACAGCAGTGAGTTTGGTTTTTGGTTTTAGGTTAATAAGGCCAACTATATAGGAAATTGTTAAAACCTTAATAAAAGATTCTGAAATAGTAGAATATTAGCATTTTACTGTATGAAAATTCTGCTTCTAATTTTAATGTGAAAGATATTCTGTATGAGCTTCAATTATATGGCTATCTGAAATAATCATTCAAAAATATTGACTTTAGGCTAAATTTGTAAAATAAGGCGACTCAGAATTAAACATGTTTGTGAATGTTTTTACTCTTTTCAATACCGGTGCAGGGTATATATGTAGGTGTAAGTAAATTAACACATACACATGTACATACAGACAGAAATGTAGAAAAGAAAAATTAAGGTCTTTTATCAGCAGACAATGTGATCCTGATCATATTTCAGAACTTAATTTTCTTCCTATATTTGACATTTTTTACATCCATTGAATTATCCCTTATAAATTTGATATTTGAGGTAAAATGTATAAATACAACTAAAATTAATTATTATTACTCCATTAAAATATAGGCTGATTGTCCTTCATCAATCAAAAGTACATTCATTCTACGTTATACCCAAAGTCACACTGGGTTTTATACTTTTTCATAAGGAAAATTAAAAAAAATAATAATTAAGAAAAAGGGAACCAAAATCTAGGGCTGTTACCAAAGTTCAATGTGTAAATGTGGATAAAAATAAACAGAATTTTTTTAAAAAAGCTTTAAAACTAGGAAGGAAAAGAAACAAGTACGCTCGTTTAAAGCACAGAATCGTCCCATAATCAATTCTACATACAAATCTTAAACGATCTGCAAACTTTATGAGAGGAATTGCTGGTATTGGATCACTGTGAAAATGATGAAATAGGCATGACTATGTGAATGTAGTAGTTTGGCCAGAAGGACAAGGGCTAAAGGGCTGAACTTATATCAGGCTTGGCCCCTGCAATTCCACCAGCCAGGAGGTGCTTGCCTAAACCCTGAATTGGATAATATTGCATGTAATTGTTCTGGGTTGTTTGAGTGGACTGATTAGGGGTACTGTCTTCACTGGATCTGCCCAGAAAGACTGCAGAGGAGCTAGAAATTCCTCCTTTGACCAGGAGTTTGCTGGGAAACACAGAAGATTTCACCCTACTTGTCAGTCCTACAAGTGAAGCTCTTTGAACCTCTGTGTGTCTACACGCACCTCTCCTGGGACTACAGTTAATTGAAATAGGGAGTCAGACCCTTTCAGAGGACTGGAAGAAGAATGCTGCGGGGCAGATCGCTATCTGTGACATCCCTGAGTGGGCTTCCTCAGTGGGAAGTTGACATACTTCCTGTGGAGGATTTACTGCTCTTTGAAGTTGCTTGGGAAGTGACTAATAAAGGTTTGTACTCTTCTTGAAGGTGCTATTTACTAGATTGCTGAAGAATGTGGTTTAGGACTTCACAGGTGACTCTCAAGTGATAGTGAAAGCCAGTGAGTCCGGAAAGTATCCAAACATCTTTTTGAATGTAAATTTAAATTACATTTAACCTTGATTATTGCAGCAGGGAATGAAGATTTAGACATAGGTACATGTTGTACAGGGAGAGGGTTGAAAATGGTAGTTGTTGCCAGAGAATGTGAATTTACAATAAAATTTTAAATTTATCTTATGATAAAATAGAAATAATAAGTAAACATTTACATTTTTGCTTTATTATTTGATTCAGCAAAATGCATAACCAAGTACTTTATTTTAGGAAAAAACAGTATGAGAAAAGGACCAATTAGAAGCTAACTGCATATGTTACTAGTGATTACAGAAAATATTTGATAATATTTCTAAAAATTCAAGATGAGCTTAGACTTAAGCTGTAACTTAGACACTGTTCTGACTGTGTATTAGTGTGCTCCTGTTATGAAGAATCAAAGTAATTTTTCTCTTCAGTGCTCTGCATACTTCCTCAAACCAAACCCATTGCCATCAAATCAAATTCTGACACATAACGACCCTGTAGGACAGAACAGAACTGCTGTTAGTGTTTCCAAGGCTGTAAATCTTTTGGAAGCACATCTTTTTCCTGTGGAGCAGCTGGTGAGTTTGAACTGCCAAACTTTCAGTTAGCAACTGAGCGATTAACAACTGCGCCACCAAGGTTCTTATGCATACATACAAAAAAACCCAAACTCACTGCTGTCGAGTCGGATCCGACTCATAGTGACCCCTCCTTGGGTTTCTGAGGTAGTATCACTAGGGAAGTAGATTACCCAACCTTCCTTCCCAGGAGTGGCTGGTGGGTTTGAACCGCCAGCCTTCTGCTTAGCAGTCAAATGACTTAGGCACTGTGCTACCAGACCTCCTTATGCTTTATAAATTGAGAAAAGATATCAAATTGTTCAAATATTTTTCTAATAACGTATCACCTGATTTGTGCTGGACTTGAAAGGGCAAGGTAAATAATTATAACTTAAATGATTTTAATAATCAAGCATCTTTAAAATCATTAAAGAAAAATTCCTTATAGATTGATATTCTCTTATTAGAAATATTCCAAAACACCAAATCAAACTCACTGCCATTGAATCGGATCTGACTCATAGAGACCTCTTCTTCGGTTTCCAAAGCACTATCACTACAGAAATAGATTGTCTCATCTTCCTTCCAAGGAGTGGCTGGTGGGTTTGAACTGCCAGCCTTCTGGTTAGCAGTTACATGCCTTAGGCACTATGCCATCAGAGATCCTGTTAAAAACATTAGCAAAGAAAAGTGAACAGTTTTGAAATTGAGTTATTCAATATCATAAGGGACCAGATGAAGTGACTGATGGATAAATGGTGATATAACCTGCATAATTTAAAGGATCTGAAATGATTTTCTGCCCAAAGTTTCTGAGAACAGAGCCGTCCCTATTCCATGTGAATCCCAGGCTAAGCCTTAAAATTGGCCTCTCCATAGTGTGGGCAGGAACAGTCTTATGTCCTGGTAACATGGATGCTGGTCCCAAAGCCTAGAACAGGCTGTGTAGAAAATGATCCCTACATACTTTTTGAATAAATGAGTGGATCTGATTATTTTTCATCTTCTAAGCTTCCTTTGGCATTTACTTTCACTTTTTCCCCTGCGAGAAGAAGGGAAACTTTTTGTGGAGAAGATATGTCCCCAATGTGATTTACCCAAGTAGACATCATCCTTGATATATCTTTAATAATTATCACAATCTGATTTTGGTAAAGATTTGGTATAGATTGCCAATTATTGTGTTCACCTACAATACATTGCCACTATTATTACTTTTTCAAATTTTCTTTTAACTTTTACTTCACTGCAGTGCATAACAATGATAAGAAGCATCTTAGAGATTATGGGTCCAGCTCCTCCATTTCATGAATGCCTAGAGGAATTAGATGACAAAGCAAATGACAGAGTTGGTTTCCTCCAAGTCTAACTCTATTTCACTACAAAATCAGAATTAAACATTAAAACTACCATTGTCTAAGCAAATGTCCAACAGTAGAAAGAGCATAAAATTTCCAGTAAAAGGCTTTCCTTGCAGTAAAATGAATTCCAAGACTGAAAAATCCCTTGACTTCCTGAATGTCAGTTTCTTCAGGAATGAAATGAATGTAATATGTTTCAGCCATTTTACAATGTTTTGTGGCAAACAGGAAATGTATTCATATTCAATAAAACAAAAGATTTCTTAGAGAGGAACACATCCATCCCTGCCAGAATTTTGCCAATGAAAAATGGAAATGTATAAAATATATCAAAAAATTTATCAAATGAAGGAGAATTAAATTATTGTATGTTAATCCTCAGACCTCAAAGTAACCTTTTTCAATTGTTCATATTAACCTTGAATTTTGTTACTTTTATTTACTCATCTATTTACTATTCAATAAAGTTCCATCAAGTACCCATTAAGTGGCTATTGGGAAATTAGAGAAACAGAGTTTAACAATCTAGAAATGATTCATAATCTCCCAGAATTGGTAAACTTGCAAGGAAGATAGGCATTGAACACATAATTTTAGTTAAATATGATCCAGGTGAAGATAAGAACATAAGAGATCTAACATTATACAGGAAGTGTGGGGATTTCTATATCTAGTGTGGTGTTTGGGGAGAACTTCTCTGAGGAAGAAACTTCTCTGAGCAGACACTTCAAGGATGAATAATTGTTGAGTGAAAATGACAGAGATGTTGATGAAGGAAAGACAGTGCCCCAAGTGAGGGAACTGAATATGCAAAATGCAGAGGTGAGAAAGTATGCTCTTTTCAAAGATCTGAGTGAAGACTGAAGAAGAAGAAAGACAGGATTACAAGAAGAGATGGGAGAGACAACATGGACTAGGTTGTGAAGGTTATGGTGAGTTAATGGCCTCAAGGAGTTTTTGTTCAATATACTGAGCAATGGGAAGCCACTGAAATTCTAAATAGTAGAAAGTGCTAAGTGGTCAGATCTATGTATTTCAAAAAGTGCTGATACTAGTAGGGCAACAGGAAAGTAGGAAAGCAGGGGACCAGCTAGATGGAAGTTCTAGGAATGGAATGAAGAGTTTCACCCAAATTTCAAGAACAAAGAGTTTGTCTTTCACTTTTGCATAGATCATACTACAATTGTTTCTTATGCACAGACTTGCCCACAACATTGTAGAGTATGGACTGTGTATCACGAGGAGATTTGTTGTTGTTGTTGTTATTTGCCGTCGAGTCAGCCCCGACTCATAGCGACCCCTCCTTGGGTTTCCGAGGCAGTATCACTACGGAAGTAGGATTGCCCAAAAGTTCTAGGGATGGAATG